TGTTATTGCAAAATAAAAATTTGCAAATTGCATTTAGAAGCTTAGAGTTGCATGAACTTCCATCATATCCCAATACTACAAGACATACATGGTCAGTAAAGACATCTTCAAGTTTGGAGAAGCCTAGGTATATTATATTTGGTTTCCAAACAGCTAGGGATAATAGTGCACGAAAAAGAACTGATGAATTTGATCACTGTAAGTTAAAATACCCCCGCCGCAGCAAACCTGTCGTCTAAGCGAATTTCCATTTGTCCGAATTGATTTTCAATTGATCTATTTAAATAACATTATTAGGTTTAACGAGTACCTAGGTTTGCTGCTACAAGGAAACTAATAAAGTAGTGTGTTTTTAGTAAAATATTGATAGCTTACTATAAAATAAATAAATTTGCCAACTTTGATCAAAATATATCCATAAACAAGCAAACTACAACATTTTACAATATTCTCCATAAGAATAACATGGGAATTTTAAATTTACCATTTTTTTAGTTTTCTCCGTAACCAATAACCGTACAAAAACACTTTGATATACTGAATTGTTTGTTTTTTTTAGCTCTTTAAGAAGGTTTAGAGAAAAATTGGGAAATTTTGTGTTTTGAGGGTAAAAAGTGAGAAAAACCCATTTTTACCCCATAAAACCCCCCATAAAACCCTGTTCCCATGGTCCGATCATGCTGGATCGCGAACTCATTCAAGTTTATCCCGCCTTACACCTTCAAACCAAATTTCATCAAAATCGGATAAAAATTACTCAAGTTATCGTGTTCACGGACACATATATATATATATAAATCTATATATATACCTATATATATATATATATATACATATATAAAAATTTGAACGAATGGTGTTTTTGGCCTCTGGGGACATTAAAATGAAAAAGTAAATCGGTCGCGGGCCTAAGTCTTACCATGAGACCTACGGTAATAGCTACTTCCCTATAGGGAAATTCGCTAAAATCTCAAAGTATTTCTAAACTCTGAATATTATCCTTATAGTGATTTAAATCTCGACTTTGAAAATGGAGATGTCTCTAAAGCTTATGAGATGTTTATGAGGTTTAGAGAGACTTACTATAATACTATCCCAGATCCTATGATTAGTAGGGCTGAGTTTATGAAGAAATATCCACTAATTGTAATAGACTGTTCTAGACAGAACGAAACAGTGAAGGAAGGAATTGTTGATATTAAATTAGAGATTGAAACTGCAGAAAATGTACCAGCAAATACATCTGCATATTGTTTAATAATACATGATAAAGTGTTTGAGTACAATCCTTTGTCAAATGAGATAAATAAAATGTAAATAAAAGATGAAAAACATTCAACAAGAATTGGTTGACTCTGCAAATCAAATACGAGAGAAATATAGAGCTTTAAAACGTGGCAAGTTTCTAGAGGCTGAAGAGAGGTTTCAAACATTCCAACCTTTAATAGAGCCATTACAAGAATTAAAAAAAATCGCCAAAACAGAGAGGCCTCGAATGGAGATTCTCCCAATGACTCCATCTAGAATACCAATAATACCAAGATTACAACCATTACAGCAATCCACCCCACAGAAATTAGATTTTGGTCTTTTAGCATCAGACTATTTAGGAAATTACCTCAGTAAAAGTAGTATGACAGACACTACATATGGTATTAGACGAGAAGCAAATAAATTTTTTATTGGAAATAAGGAAGTTGACATTGCCAATGATGATGTTACAATTGCAAATAAAACCTACAAGGGGACAAAAGGTTTGTGGCAATTGTTAACTTTAAAAGAACCTGAGGATTATACTCCGGCTGATTTGCAAAATTATAAAGAAATTTTGGAAGCTACAAATGGACATTTAAAGAGTTACAAAGATGGTGCACCAATTTCAAGTAATAGACATACTAAATATCTTAATATAATTAAACCTCTATTTAAGTCTGTTGGTGAAGGTTTGAGACAAGTGACTGGTAATAAAATAGACTATATTTATTGGGATGATCCTAATGAGCTTGTAGATAGGTTAAGACTTCTTTGGCTAAGTCGCCAAGCCGGTAACTCAGGAGTGGATAATGAAATAGATTCCATTATTGAGGAATTGAGAGAAAGTGGAATTATTTACTAAATAAAAATATGTTTATAGATAAATTTTATCGTTTATATAATCCATATAATAAGCCTGCAGAACCCAGGGCTAGTAGTGAACCTACTTTAAATTTACAAGACGATAGTTGGAATGGTTTAAACCGTAAAATTGGTAACGTTAAAGATGGGGAGTTTGTAGATGATGTATCAACTTTGGGACAGACATTAACTAGAAAAGGTGATGTCTTCTTACAAGGTAGAACTAAATATGAGTTTTTAGAATCTAAGAATAAAAATTGGAATGCTAAAAAACAGAAAATTACTAATGTGGAAAAGGGTGAAAGTTTAGATGATGTGCCCACTTTACAACAGACTTTAATACGAACAGATGGTGGTACATTTGTACAAGACAATAATAATTATGAATTTTTAGAATCAGAGAATGGTATTTGGAATGCTAAGAAACGGAAAATTACTAATGTAGAAAAGGGTGAAAGTTTAGATGATGTGCCCACTTTACAACAGACTTTAATACGAAAAGAAGATGGTAAATTTGTACAAGACGATAATAATTATGAATTTTTAGAATCAGAGAATGGTGTTTGGAATGCAAAGAAACAGAAAATTAGTAATTTGATGGAAGGTACAGATAGTAAAGATGCTGTGAATGTTTCACAAGTTCCAAAAATGGAAGCAGGCTATTGGAGTTTTAATAGTAAAAGGTTAGTACGTGTTAAACCTGCCATTGATGACACTGACTGTGTTATAAAAGAACAGACTATAACTTTTGATAAAAAAGAAAAATGTTGGGATGCCAAAAAACAATTTATAAGAAATCTACCAGAGGGGGAACATTTGGATGATATTTGTCTAATGTCACAATCTATGCATTACGATGGATCAAAATTTGTATATGGAGAAAAAAAATTTAATTTGATGGAATATAATCCTGATTTATTAGTTGCTGACCCCACATCTTTGAGTGGATTTAAGTATATAGATAATAGACCATATATACCAGAAAACTATGTATTTAAAAGAATGGAAGATAATCTATTGATTGGGGCTAATGGTGATGTATTTAGAGTTACAGGAAAGGATGATGTTATAAAAAATGAATGAAATTGCATACGAGCTTCATAAGCCTGCAAGAAAGAATTTCATTAGAAGGTCTTTTAAAGTATTGGGTATAAACGAAACCATACAAATAGATTTAGTTGATATGCAAAACTATGCTAGAGAAAATTCTGGCAATAAATATATTTTAACTTTAATAGATACATTTTCTAAAAAAGCTTATGCTGCTCCACTAAAGAATAAGACAGGGTTAGTGGTTACAGAAGCCATTAAAACCATTCTACCAAAGGGGGTTAAAAACATTCAATCTGACAATGGAAAAGAATTTTTTAATCAATATTTTAGCAAACTAATGAAAAAATTAAATATTAATCACTATCACACATTTTCTACAACTAAGGCTGCAATTGTGGAGAGGTTTCAGAGAACTTTAAAGAATTGGTTATATAGAGAATTTAGTGCTCAGGGGAGTTATAAATGGTTGGATTTACTTCCAAAGTTAATTCGAAAATATAATAATAAAGTGCATAGATCTATAGGAATGAAGCCTAACCAAGTGAATGTTAAGAATAGTAAATATGTGCATGAGAGGTTGACTTCTAAAGTAGTGCAAGTTAAAAAGCCAAGATATAAGGTAGGTGATAGTGTGAGGATTTCCAAGTATAAACATGTTTTTAGTAAAGGTTATACTCCAAATTGGACAGGGGAACTATTTACAATAGCAGAAGTTAAAAATACAAAGCCTGTGACTTATATCTTGAAAGATGAAAATGGCAATATAATTAGGGGAGGCTTCTATACAGAGGAGTTGTTAAAGACCAAGTATAAGGACATGTATTTGGTAGAGAAGGTAATTAGGAGAAAGGGTGATTCATTGTATGTCAAATGGCTTGGGTTCCCAAGTAGCCAGAACTCATGGATTTCCACTAAGGATGTCCAAGGGAGCACGTCATGAGCCAAACGCACAAACCTCACATGATTTTGAAAATATACATGGGAATGGATGTGGAATAGTGTTATACAATGGTATTGAACATTTATATAGGCTTGTATTGGACGAGATCCAGGTCTTTAAAAAAGTGGCCAAAAAAAGCTCACCATTTCCAGACGTGATTTTTAGTATTAACAAAAGTAGAAAATTTATATAGGGGTGTATAGGTCGAGAGCTGGGTCTTTAAAAAAAGTGGCCAAAAAAAGCTCTTCCACTTTTTTCTAATTTTTCCCCTATAAAAAGTGCCCTAAAAGTGCCTCTAAAACGCCGAAAGTGAGGTCATATTCTGGTATTATATCTACTGAAGATAAATTTGTATTTATCATAGTCGTAGCCTACATGGTAAATTTCATCAAAATGAATACCAGTTACCGGTAATCATTAAATAGTTATTTGAGTAAATACTGTGTGAAGTTGCACTTTGCACTCGCGTTAAACATTATATTTTTCCTATAGTAAAAGCCTAGCAAGATAGAAATAATTAGTCTTTCAAACACTAAACAACACGTTTTAGGTTAGGTTAAATCTTAAATCCAAGCATTGAACAAAATAGGATCGTAATCGTAGTATCCTTAAGTGTTGCAAGTTAGGTTGCCAAACTAATGGATTAGGCATTGAAGAAAGTAAAAATGCAAATTCAAGAAAGCATTTTAACATTTATGATAGCTGAAACATTCATAACGACAATAGAATAAACGTACTCTTCTAAATTTACCATCCATGTGGCTCGCTGAAGGCCTTATAGCCTTATAACAAATCCTAGATGTTCTTCCCGTGCTTCGCATCGGGACAAGATTACTCAAGAGAATAACGAAAGTCTCTAAATATACTGTAAAAAACAGTTACACACACTTACCCTTGCAAAATATTCAGGCAAATGTAAATCGTACATATTGGATATTTTAGTGAAAATCTCTTTTGTATTTGCATTAAACTATGTGGCAAAATCAAAACTAATAAATTTATTGTAATCGAAACATCTATAATGAGAATCAAAAGGTTAACTCTAGGAAAGTAAACAAACAAACTAAAACAAAAGAAAATCTAACAGCTGATGCAAATGTGTTTGAATATTTTATTTTACTTTGAGGAGAGGGTTAATGGAAAAACTTATATTTTCCGGTATAGTTTCACATCAATACCTTTCTTTCATTCAAGAGTGTGGTTGATGGGCGTACGGATTACAGTTTTCTCAAAAGTTCACGATCCTTGTTAGCTTTATAAATAGAGGTTTCAGTTTGGTTTATGTAGATGGGTTTTTGTTGTGTAGTCTTACTATTTTTTCTCGCCATCGAACGAATTTGAAAACTATATTAACAAAACAAAACTATCTAAATGTAAATAAATCCTTGTCGGATAAAAAAACATCAGGGCACAATAAAATACATCCTAAAACGAGAGACAAAACATTAAACGACTCAAGTAATCAAAATTTTCACATTTTAAAATACGTTAAAAACAGCCTATACTTGATGTCAGCATTGATTATAGATACATTTTCATTATCACCACTATAAACATCACACGATATCGCAAAATCATAACTAATGTCAGACAGTAATGAATCAATACCAATAATCTCGTTGATGGGGGAGAATGTAAGGGGAGTAGTAAAATGTTTACCACGGGTCACAAACAATGGTCGTATAACAATTGCATATGCATCGGCCATTCATACTGGGGCACTGGACAGTGCTGTAAATCGTGTGGTAACTGATCGGTGTTGTAATTATATGTGTTCAACATACACCACAATGTACATGGACGTTGTATATGCGTGCAATGTACATCGGTAATGCACCTGCATGTATATGGTAAATGGTTGATGTACCTACTACATGTGTGCAATGTACTGGGTTGTTATACTGTAGGGTGAACAGATTGTGCCACCATTGGTATCTCAGAAATTATTACATTTTCAGAAAAAAATAATTGGAAAACTTTAACTATTTTTTATGACGGTTAAATTTAAGATTTTTTTTTATTGGAGCATCTTATGAATGTTTTAGAATGTATATGCGATTTAAAAACGTTTTATTTTTGACTTTTTTATCCAAAGCTACTTGTTTATGAGTTACAGCGTGTTACACATGAGAAAAATGGCTTTCTGTGAACATTCTGTGTCATGTAGCTCATAAACGAGTAAGTTTGGAGTGACAATACAAACAAATATTAAAATTGAAAAAAAAAATTAGAAAAATCCATAGAATAAATCCACCGTTTCAAAAAATTAGTCCTACCACCTTTTTCCTATATAGCGCATGATTGTAAAATTGAAACACACTGTAATCAATGACTTACAATTCAAAGTAAAAATAATTTATATTTGTACAATTTTGAAAAATAAAAGGCCACTTCAAAGTGTTCAACCATATATAACGTGTATATGTATTTTCTTTATCAATATTCTATTTTAAATACAAGCTCTTATGACCAAGTGTTTTCCTACCATTGCTCAAACGTAATAAAGCAAACATGAATTTATTTATTTATTTTAATGAAACCGTATTTCAACATTATAAAACGGAAATAACGAAACACTAATGCTTGATTTGTAGAGACTAACTAATACGAATATAATATAAACTACTCAATCATTTAACATTTTTAACAAGTTAAAACTTGTAGTACTGTCAAGCTATTCCTGTTAGATGATCACTATTTTCGGACTTTGTTAATTTATAAGCTAAGCACTAAGTTACTTGAATTTCTCTAGGGTTGTAAAGAATCGTCGTATAAACACACACACAAACATGAATTCACTGACACGTAAACAAAAAACAAAAATTTTCTAGTGATAAAAAGTATGGCAGACTTGTGGTGTTGCCGGCAAAAGGCAAGTTGTGACATTAAAATATAAACACCCGTTAGTATACTTTTCATCCATAAAATATGTATTTATTATTACAAAACACAAACAAAATAAAGTATAGGTGATGATTTTGGCCACCCCTAGTGACGAGTGCTGTCGCAATAACCAGAATTTATGAACCGCTCGTGTATAGATGTAAATGACACCGCGTGGCGGCCACGTGACCGTAGAGGGCCCCGGCTGCCCTAGGGGGCCCGGGGGGGGGCTAGAGGGCCCCATCACAAAGTGGCTTCTTTCATTGCTACACAATATGTTCTGCCGCCACGCGCGCTCTATATGACGCAGAAACTCCAATGTTGCTTTTGTATTTTTCGAGTGAACGACTCCGAAGTAAATGAGTCAGTGGGGTTGATTTGGCTTGTTTGGTAACATTGGTTTGGGCTGGAGACTAGAGGGTGCTCGTGGATGAGGTTTAGATTAAGAAGGTACGCAAAGGTTTATGGATGTAATTGTAAACTTGGAAATTTATTGGTCTTTGGTTTATTATTGGTTATAATTTTTGTCAATAAGTCTTTTGTTTACTTTTTCCATGTTATTTTGTTCAACCAACATAGTTAATTGGCACCCATAAGGCCAATGCTAAATTTCCAAATAAGTTGTGTAATGAAATAAGAATTTTCCTGAGGTATTGACTGTCGCCAATTACGTTTTTGGGCCTATACGTCCCTAATTCCAAAATTTGGTTAGAATCAAAATCCTTCCACTGGATTTCAAGATATATATTACATACATACAGACAGACAAACAGCCATAGCTTCTATTAGAGTATGATAATTACATTCGGTAGTAAGATCAGTCTCAATTTTAGGCGAATGTAAGTAACACATGTCGGAAATATAGAAATGCAAACAGATTAGAGGCAACATAATCTTAAAAAACCTCCGTGGAGAGTATTTTATGATCGGGATACAATGAAGGTGTAAAAAGCAATCAAGTAGGATAAAATTCGTATTTGTTTAAATTAATTTTACAATAAAAGATAGTACCCATATCTAAACTTTATTCCAAACTAATGTTGAGATCTACTGTTTTTATTTATGTTTTATAACAAAATACTGTGTTTTAAATCTCGTCCATGACATAATCTCGGAAAAGTATGATGTCTGATTCTACACGTTATTAATTTACCTAGAGAGAAAATATTTATACCATAAGAATGTTTTAAACATATATTTATATGAAATCCACATAAGCTATGGAAATGAACCATTAGCTATATTGAAAATGAACTGCTCACCCGTGTATCGGGACTTAACAATCTCATTGTTGCTGAATCGATCCTGAAAAAAATCAGTAGCTTTTTGATAGTTTGAAACTGGACCCAGCTGTTCCTGGCCATTGGGATTTAAATAAATTAACTATCCTGACTAATGAAACAGCTGATCATAGTCAGTAACAGAGCTACACAGATCATAATAACCAATTCTACACTCATTCTTCACTCGTGTTTGGGTTAATCAAATACGCATATACGTGGCGTCTCCATCTAAATGATTGATAATAAATTATTAATAATAAATGATTGATAATTGATAATAATTGAAGATGATATAATTTAAAATTAAAATGAAATGATAACCGACAACAACTAGATTATTATTAATTGTTTTCCTTGTTTACACTCCTCAGTGGTTGGAAGATGTATGTTTGGTTGTTAGGAAACTAATAAAAGCTCAACACACTATTCCAACATCGGCTTATAGCAATGTAAATTGAATTGAGTAAGTTAAATGATTAAATGTGACTTTCAAATTAATTGTTAGAGAAACTAAACATGTAAGAAAGCAGTTAAAAATCAGGTCTTGAACTTATCTTGAATTCGTTTTACGTTTAAGTTTATTGAAGATGCATATGGATAAAATAATAATAATAGATAGTTGAGATAAATTTGATCAAACTTTAATTGAATTTACAATTTAAGTTTTCAATAAGCTAATTAACTACTCATTTCGTTAGACTTAACCATGTTTTATCTATGACTTAATATTCATGAAAGAGCCCTTTTATTTTTTTAGTCATGAACGTTTGATTGGTTGTCGATTTTGTTCTGTTTATAGTTATTATTTTAACACATTCTCATAAATTCCTCAAAAGGTAGCTAAAATACCTCCTCTTGGGCAACAAGATTACTGTAATTACTTGAAATAGTCGTTGCACTCGAGGAGTTTAATGTTAAACGATTTGTCTTTAGTGAATTAGAAAACAATAGGATTTATTAAATAATAAAAAAAAAAATACCATTAACTGACACAATTGTTCATCAATCTTGTATGCATTTTATTCATAAGGTTATTTAGGTATAAAAAATCTATGTAAAACCATTACAATTGAACTACAATAAGTTACGGTTCTAAAGACCATTTCACCGCATTACCAACACTTATTATTTTGTATGATTTTAAATTTAAATTTGTTCACGTTTTACAAGGGTTTACTAGATCTGTACAGATTTAAACCCATAAAAGGTAATAATTATTAAAACATTTTTGTTTGTAAGTGTTTCTTAAAAGTATGCTCTACGATACATTTAGTTGAATTAAGAAAATTAATGATCCTACATTTTGTTTATGTTTGAATTAGGGTTTACGTAGAATATTACCATTGACTTTATATCTACACTTTATACTTAATATCATTGACATATTATAGGTAATATAGGTAATACTACATAGGTAATATCATTGACTTTATATCCGTGTAGATATAAAGTCATTGATATTACCTAAAACGTATTTATTAAAAATATGTTCAATTAATTAGGGTTTTTTTTTTTTAATTCATCCTACAGATTATAGAATTGAGCAAGCTGAACAAAATAAACCATAAATCATCTCTCTATCTCGTCTAGAAGCTGATCAGTGTAATTTATAGGGTAAAAAATACATCTTTCGGAAATCCACAGAATCAGGTGTAGCCTATGAATTTTGATTGTTGAACTATGCAATTTGATGGTTACAAAGAATGGGATGCTGTAAAAATTACATTTTCTCATCGTGAATATGACAGAATCAGTATAACATCAACGCACTGTGTCGGTCACTGAAACCGACTAAGATCTCTT